GACAGGGTCCGCCTTGTGTCCAGTCCTTGTTCTACTACAGGGTGTCTCAAAAGTTCGTTCACACATTTCCCATGCCAATAAAGCATATAAGAACCGGCCAAAAGTATAATGTTTTGGTGTCTGTGTGTACACTAGACAAATATGCATGCTTTGACAACTGATTAAGAAGGTTGGAAACCAACCCCTTTGCTGTATCTCTAAAAATATTTGCCCATACCGATTTTTGTTGCTCCGTCAGCTGCCGGAGGCTGATAAAAGGTTACCAGCTTTCAAGCTCTTGCAGGGGAATCCCCTGCAGTTTCTGCGTCGGATTTAGTTTTGACTAGCTCCCAGGCAACATCTGATTTTCCCTGAAAGCCGACAGCTTGCATCGACACCATCCTTGAGTATTTTGTAGACATTCTCTGGCGCTAACTCCTTCATGAATGACTGGCGCCGACATCCCAAGCGCCATTTTCCTTTTCAAAACGACCCCAGTCCTGAACAAACGGGAAGTGCCAGGAGTAAATTTTTCGCATCATATGGTAGCAGAATGTGTCGGACGTCTGTTTCTCAGACACATTGTGCAAATTTTGCAAATTCCAAGCGCTCGTCATTCCCCATGCCAAGACCTTCGCTCGGTTGCGGAGTGTTTTCCTCGGGAGATGTTCTGCTTTGTAAACGGCCCAAACCTGTTCATCGTGTGGTTTTATCGGGATTTTGTGTTTAAAAGAAAATTATTCGCTGCAGATCTGCCTCTTGAAACTTCGTTAGATAAAATTTTACAATAGCTGACACTTTTGGAGGGTCAGGTGTCCTTGGCATTGACGATTTTTGTGTTATTGTCCCCAAAAATTAGCGTTATAGATATTATAAATAATTTTAAATTATAATTTGTCTTTATTTTACGATGATCTGCACTTTTTGAAAATGGGTAACCTCTGTCTGTGACCTTCTTGCCAATTTCAATAGTTATGACCGCATTTTCAGCTGCTTTCCGGAACACGAGTCTGCTGTCGTGCGAGGGTCGTTCAAAACGCCGTTAGTCTCGCATGGTTTCGTCCTTCAAAAATTTTAGCCACCGTTTTTATGAGATGATCATCATTTTGCACTCATCCTCGCCGACACTTAGCCATGTGTCATTTCCGACTTAACCATTCCCATTACTCCTGAAACAGAGAGTTTCACAACATACCCGACTTTGCAACCTACATTTTCGTGCCTGACCCATGGTCAGAGGTGAACCCTTTTTGTGAGCTCATGAAGGGTCGAATGCACTTGAAAACAATGAGACTGCTTGAGGAAGGTTGTCACCAATGCCCATGCAAAATTTCGATTGTTAATTTCTTGTTGATTCAGAATTATTGACAAAAAAGCATGGCTGGTACCTGTGAACGAACTTTTGAGACACCCTGTAGGAAGGAGGATCCATCCCAAGATGCTATCCGTGCCTGTATCCGTGCCTGTCACCGCATGCGATCGTAGACAGTATTCGAGTGCAGACGTCCAGCCGCCAGGCCGACTGAGTATAGGTATGTATGTAGTCACCGCCAAGGGATGAAGGCCTCGGGCGAATAAAGTGAAGTAATCGCATTGCTTATGTGGCTTCAAATAATCACCTAAAAAGTGATGAAAATGGCAAATTGTGCATGATTTTCCAGGGCCACTAATAATGAGTCAACTGCTGCCGATAAAAACTGAACAACTGTAGGCAATGTGGTACGAAGCGCCACATTCAATGATGTAAGCTGTTAGTGAGATGAATTACGCGTTCGCGCAGTTTCTGCGTATTGGTGTTGTTGTGCTATGCGCGATTGCGGTCTCCGTTATCCCGTTATTGTGGTGTGCGTGATTGAAGTCTCCGCCGTCGCGTTGCTGCGGTGTGCACTGTGCGCGATTGGAGTCTCCCGTCCGGCTGTTGCGGTGCGCGAGGTTTCCATGAAATGGTGCTGTTGTTCTGTGCGTTATTGGAGTCTCCCACTCGCCGTTGTTGCGGTAGAGGCAGTTTCTGTGGTGCTGCCGTGTGGTGTGTACCTATACATTTTCCGTTAGTTTTGTAGTACACTGAAAACAAAATTACCCATGGGTGATGAGTAAACTCATGAACCGGCGGTAATTTTAAACAACCTATTTGACTGCTCGAGGCGCCGGTAATGTAACTAGGCCTGCACCGGTCATTGCACCTCTCAATTGTGCGTTAACTCATGTCTCTTCACTCGTGTATTATGAGTTAACCGATTGTGAAAAACTCATGTACTCTTGGTAACTCATTTTGATTACTCATCATATGCGAGTATAGTCTTACTCATATTACACCGTTAATGAAGACACCACACGTTTGACTACATGAGGCGCTAGTAAATGTTACTAGCCCTGTAGCGGTCACATCACCAATGAGTTGCGGGTTAACTCTCGTTCCCTCACTCATACCACATGAGTTTACCGTTTGTGACGAATTCAAGCATTGCTAGTAACTCATGCCATGCAACGATTGATACGCGAGTTAAATGTAACTCATAACATGATGGTCAAGTGAACACACCTATTAGATCGCTCTGCCGCCGGTTTTTCCACTCTGTCGACTCATCCCCTGGCGGTCAGCCTCACCCATGAGATGAGAGTCATAACATTAAAACATAAGGAAGGTTTATTAAAACAATGCATAGCATGCAGATAAACCACGACTATTACATCATTGATCATATGAACAAGGGTGATGAACACAGCACGACGCTCATGCCCTTCCAGACATGAACTTGGCCTACACGCATGAAAAAGCGTTAACGCCATTTCTTTGCAAAACTACCCGGCAGAAACACAAACACAAAAAGAGACAGAAAGTCCCTAAAGCGCTGCCTCATGTCCCTCCCCGTGCACTCCTAAACGCAGCCGGTCATCGCCGCCCACTGCTTTGGGGGCGGCGACACATCGGTCTTCAGGATCACGGCACACATCAGGTAGCCGGCCAGACGGATGGCTGGGCGGTTGAACGACTGCGCAAACACTGTGAACGCGGCCCCCCACGTCAGCAGCTTGTTCACCTTTGCCGTTAGAGCTCCTTAAACTGCACTGCTGGCACGCCCTCTATGGCGTGGAAGTCGTCCGCCACATGAGGCCGTGGCTGCGGCGCCGATGTGAACACAACTTGGTGCTCTTTAGCACGGTGCAGAGAAGATGGTCGATCGCATCGTCTGCGACGGAAAAATTTACCTTCAGAAATCAAGGCCACGAACTGCAAACTTTAATTTGGTACAGTATGCCTCTCGCAATTTTAACCGCACGTCTTGCTGGGGGAGAGGGAGGGTGTTTGAACACCCCTTCTGTGGATTTTCACAAATATCTAAAAAAAAAAAACGGCGGCGCTCCGTGTCACCTAAAGTCAGGTCGCCAGGTCAAGCCAAGTGACCTCACTACTTAAAAAGTTATAAAGCCTACCATAGCTACACCCTAGTGACCGATTGCTTTGAAACTTGCAGCGATTGATAAGAGCAACAGTTTGTACAAAATGTATATCTTAGCATTTTGATGTCGATGGCCTAAGGTCAGGTGAATTTTGCGACCTCTCAGTTAAAGGTAAGTAAATTGGAGACAATCGAAAGGCGCCTCTTTTGGACGTAAGTCATATTGGCCGTAAGTCATATTGGCCGTTTTCGCGACGGGCTACCCGGCGAGTGCACCTAATTTGACCAAATCTGCACCTAATCTCTTTTACAGCAAATATCTGTATTTTATGAATTTATTTCATTGTTTTCATCGAAGATACTCTCTGATAATATGGTAAAGCAGGCATATAAGCAATTAGTGCAACCACACTTAACATGAAAATGGCACCCGTGACCCCGTTTTATGCCCCTGATGACATCTCAGGTCACAAATGGTATCTGACAGTTTTTCGCGAAGAACTTTTGATAGAGGCATAGAACGATGAAAACACCTTCGTTGTGTTCATCTCGACGAACGGATCAACTGATATGCAACCTGACCCTTATCGGTCAGGTCATGACCTTGAACTGAGGTCAAATTTTTAAGTTAACCTTTCAAGGTCACATAATAGTTTATTCAATGCGTCTTGCCGAGAGAAACACGATTCCGGTAAAATAAAGTACGTGAAAGGCTTAAGTCAAAAGTTTTTGCTGAAAAACTTTCAGAAAAAATATATCTATTTTGGCAGTTTTTACCCCTCCCTCGCATGCAAAACCACTGACGGCAGGTCAAATCTGAGAGAGTTAATCAGAAAGAGCGTTAATGGGCTATCAAAGGCGCTTTTCTGTGGTTTTGTAGCTCTATTAGTTTCCGAGCTATGCGTTGATCTGATCGAAATTTGAATGTTGTCAAAAATTGAAAATTATCAAAATTTAACCTGGAAATCGGTGAACTTTTGCATTCAATGACCTCTGGTGACCTGACCTTTGACCTGAACAAAAAAGTGACCGAAATAATTTCTTCCTTATTTTTGACGTCCTTTCGAACGCCGCCTTCGCCGTATCGCTACATGGCCCAGGAGCTAAGCTAAAAGGGGGGTTCAAACGTTTCCCCTCCCCCCCCCAGCAGGGCCTAGAAATCCAGGAACTCCCGCGGGGTGCGGGTTAGAAGATGCTTGTGAGCATAACATTAAAATATGTTTAGAGTAAATAGTGCTCGCATATATTACTTTGAAATTGACGATAAAAATGTGTTAATCATACTCAATGCCTATAGGTATTGAGTATCCACTATAGTAAACTACAGTGGATATAACGATGAACTTCTATGATCTCTTATAAGAAGCACGAATGAAATTTCACATTTTTATGCTCCTTTTTTAAATACTTTCCGTGTAAGTGTATACGAGTATATCAAACTTAACAGGACGTTCATAAATACATGAGCTTTTGGTACCTATTCGGTTACGGTTCCAACATTCCCGGGTAAAATGTTGTTAACTTACCATCTGTGAGGCATCCAGCTGCTCTTTCACCTTCGCCATTGGCCACAATCGGGGTCATGGCTTCCCGGGAGAGTTCCAACTCGTTGGTGTCCAACAAGTCGGCATTTTTTATCCGACTCAGCTCTTTCCAGACCTGAAAACAAAGGATTAATGACGCGTGCTGAAGGACGACTATACCAGTAAGACGCCATCGATATTCACATGGCCGGCTTAAATTCTTCTACTTCTTACTGCAGCGTCTGAAAATTAACTGCCAATCCAGTTCCGTTATCGGTGGTCATGCAAATGCGATGTCACACAAGCACATCTGTTTTACAGTAGCATTAGTAACTCTCGTAATCCCTACCGTGCGGCGGACATGACCCTGGGGTTATGCATGCATTGTCAGTATAAGTACAGACTTGTGCCTCAGCCAAAAATCAAGATCCAAGATCCGCAAGATCCCATGCAATGCCAGGATTTCAGAATACTGGATCTCCTTGATCTCATTGAAAAATATAATATAATTTTAGGATCCAAGATCCCCTGGATCGCACGTATAAATAACACTTTAGGATTCCGGACCCCACGCGAGAACGAAATGCCAGAGTTCAAATTTCCTGGATCCAACGTAAATGTCATGTCTGTAGACATAAAATTAAGCGTTAAGTTGTGAACTTTAGGGCCAGCGAAGCAGGTTGTGCACAAAGACTTCTTAAACAACCTTGTACGCCTCGCTAATGCAAAGCATTTTGAAATTTAGCAAGAAAAATGTGTTCTCAGAGTCTAAATGTAGGATACAAGATCCCCAGAAATCAGAATCAATCCACAGAGCAAAATGTAAGATTCAAGATCGCCGGTATTCATCGACAAAAGAAACATGTTGGATCAAGGACCAGCAGGGTCTCCAAAAAGTATTGATGAATTTATAATCAGATAGAAGAACTGCGCTCTTGGATCCTGTGGATCGAATCATTTTCGGATATTGGCCCTAGTCTGTCGGTAACAAAGGCAAGGGAAACAAAATACACATGAGGGCGGGTGCAAAATAACTCAAGATGAGCTTCAGAAAGAAAACTGACTCTGAGAGCCGGTGAAGGCGCGTCTGCAGTTGCACGCACCAAACCACCTGACTCTGACTGCATTGGATCGCTAATTTACAACGCATCAGACCATGTATGTACAATGATTCACATGTTATCTATGACAATGTACATACTTTGTTTTCATCGACGACGGATGGTGGCCATCGGGATTTTCCTCTTGACGATGAGGTGTCGCCTCTCTGAGAAAGTGGCCTCCATGGCACCGTCCAGCTGAGGAGATGAGAACATCACGATAGAATCAATTCGACCATGCCTGGTATCTAGATCTCACTCTTGGGGGGTGCAGGGGTGGGCTTTTAGAGGAAGCACTTGGGGTGCTCGTTTTTAGAAGGATTCGGCCAAATGATTCAATTACAAGTCGTTTATTACAAAAATACTAGATAAACTACGAGGAAGATGAAAAACATGATGAAAAGCTGACCTAGCCTTACCTTATAACCTACTAACTAGACCTTACAACCTAAATAGGTACCTACAATCTACCAGCCTACATCTTACAACATAGGTACAACCTTCCACATGCCTACCACTCGAACTTCATTTACACATATACCACCTATCCTAACCTATAGATGTTTGCACCAGGGTTTGAGCATTAGGGGCTGGCAGAAATAGATGCTATAGGCAAAGGCTTAAAGAAAATACTTGATGTTTAATTATTCTGTTAGGCTTCACGCTGGCAAAGCTGCCCGTAGAATAACAGGTTAGGTTTCACTGTAGGGGCATGTTGAGCATGACTGATATGATATTCCACATTTTGATGGATATTATGAACCCCTCAAAAAGGCTTTCATGTTATAGACAATACATAACTAGGAGGGTCAACCAACCCATAGGACAACCCAAGGTATCAGTAGTGTTGTGTGAGTGCACATGTAGGTACATTTTCAATGAAAATATGCATTTTGCACTTAAACATACCTACAGGCAATAAAATACGTAACATTTAACACTCACCAGTCACTCCAGCCTCCAATTCACTGCGTCCGCCGCGTCCCGTGCTGCACTTACAGCACAAACATGCAAGATGGCGTCACGGCGGTTATATTAACGCGTAAGGCTTGTGTAAAGCAGCTCATGGATAATTCACGGTTGATCATATTTACCGGCGCATCATTGGTTTCCTTAAGCTGCGTTTGAAGAGTTAATGATTTCAAACTGGTTTTTGATCTCATTACTCACGAACAATGAGTTAGCAAGAATCCCTGTCCTCTTTTTCATGAGTTCTTAAACCCAAACGTTCAGTTTCACTAACTCACGGGTCGTGAGTACATTCCTTACTCGCCTTACATGAGTTTGCGAGACTCAACAGGGAGTTTTGATACCAATGTTTTGTGCGTCATGAGTCAGGCAACTCATAGGGAGAAGGTCATGCATTTGGGCAATTGAGTTTTCAAAACGAGTAAACTTTTACTCTTGAGTGTTAACGCTCCGCGCGTGAGTTACTCATCCAAATATACTCATGAATGGCGAGTCAAATATGAATTACTCTCCCCTCATGAGTAGATTTGTTTTCAGTGTAGTGTGCGCAGTTTATGTGCAGTGGTGGTGTTGTGTTGTGCGCTGCTGGAATGCCCAGTCCACGCCTCTGATCTATATGCATACCGATTGCCGGAGCATGGCGACATCTGAGGCCAGTTTTACCAACAGAAAAATGGCCGCCTGTCGAATTTTTTTGCCTAAAGGGCCATTTCACATTGGGCGATTTCACACTTCACATTTCTAGCGGCGACTCCGAGCCCAACCGAAAAGCTTTATCCGCTTACGTGCCCTTCGCGTTTACGCTCCGCATGTAAAACGGCCTTTAGGCAAAAAATCCGGCAGGCGGCTATTTCTCTGTTGGTAAAACTGGCCTCTGATTTCGATGTAGTGTTCACCAAATTTGTGTCCGGCCGCCCATCCCCCACGGGCGCAGCTGGCGGTGGGTTGGTCGAGACGGTAGCCGCAGCAACCGCTTCAACCGCCGCATCAACCATCGCAAATGATTCGCATCAACCGCCGCAAATGATTCACCCGGTGTTCTTATAGTTTGTTGTTATGTTCGTTTTCATAAGCAGTGCGCACTATCCGTGCGGGCGCCGGCGGCTCTTCTCTGGGATGTAAGTCCGCGCCTGCAGGGACAGCGCACCCCGGCGGGCAGGGACAGCGCACCCCGGGCAGGGACAGCGCACCCCGGTAATGTCGCCGACAGCCCGCCACTACTGGTTCTCCGCGGCCGCCGCGCCGGCCATTGTTGCACCGGGCCGCCTCGTCCGTCAGTATGACAGCGGCTCCGAGGGCTCCGAGGGCCGAGCCCAGCCCCGACGTGAATATTGATCGCTGTTTTGCGGCTACCGGTCGCCGCTGCCCCGCTGCCAGCTGACAGTCATTGCATTGTTCCAGGCATCGATGCAGCGTAAACAAGCGGGCCGATCGCAGCGTACTCCTACTCAGAAATCGTATGATTTGTTTGCCGGCCGACGCCGAGCGACCCAAGCCGACTCGTCGGTGCCCGCTGCTAAAAGTCAAACAAGGTTCACCTGTCTGTAGACCGCACCGTCCCCGCCCCCCCCCGCGGATACGGGGTAGGTATCGCGCGCAGATGGTATGTACATCCCGCAACGGCACTGTTCTGTGGATCGTATCGCGGTCTTCTGGGCCATATGCTAAAACCATTCATGCATACTTGATTTCACGTGATTTGTATCAAATGTCGTGGTTTCAAACTCAAAATGATCTTTCGAGATCGCCTCTGTACTCTGTAGGCTGAACGGAGCCAAGTTTGCACGGATGACAGCAATTGTAGTTGCGCATGTCAGTTTAAAATAAGTAGGTAGGTACTTATACATATTAATAAAATGTTTATGCGTCTGCGTTCTTGCCGTACAAAGATTGACAGCAATTACTATCAATTTTGCATCCAGGCGTCCCTGTTTAACTCAACCGGTAATATTTTATATGACGAATATATAACATAACATGTATGCTACTGCTAACCCTAGCCTTCATAATTAAAAATGTATGGATATAATGTGCATTTTGCACGGCAGCTGAGATCATTAGCACACAGAATCATTCATCCAGTACCGCAGTAGATCGCCAATTATATTGGATAGTCACGTATGCATGTAAGTACATACGTGCTGAATTTTCTTGGTGCAGCCCATGTCTTCCGGTCAGTGACATGGCACCAAGTATCGTGTCTCATGATATGACGGTCAATGCTCTGAAAAAGCAGGTCAGCATTGACAAATGGTTCGCTTCAACGAACCAAAAATTCAGTCCAACATTTATAAACAACGAACTGATCTCATCCATACGCAAAAACTGGCCGTGCCTATGCGCAGTGTGTCAGCTGACAGGTGGGGTCGATATTCGGAGGTGCGCCGGTCCTTCGGAGTGGCGTGGGTCGCCGGTGCAGGTATGCGTGCCGCCCAGTCCGCGGCACCGGACCGGTTCGACATGAGATCAGTTCCCGGTATACGGCAGTATCAACATCAGCGCCGGCAGAGCAGTCGCCGGTCTGCGCAGCGCTGCTCGGAACGGGTTCTGGGCGACTCACTGCCGGTCAGCGCTGCATCGGACGGCGCTGACTGCCGCACAGTCGGTACCGCGGTCACAGATAGATACCGACGGTCGGCGGCCACAGATAGATACCGACACGGCGCCGCGGTCACAGATAGATATCGGCGGTCGGTGCCACGGCCACAGACCGGCGGTCGGCCTGAGCACCGGGGACAGATCACCGATCACCATGAGTTTTGGCTGAATACATGCAACAGGTCTTTATAATAAAACAGGGGAAAATATATTAAAATAATGCAAAAATGGTTTGTAAAATAAAAATGGTTTGTAAAAATGGTTTGTAAAATAATGCAGCAAAAAAACGAGTGTTCAGCACATTTACTGACATCACTATTGAGGGTATGGATATGAAGCGTTGAATATGTGTCTATTTCTAATGTGTTCTTAAAGCGTTGCTCAAACACATCACAAAACCAACAAACCTTTAACCAGCAGCCGATAGATCCATGACATCTGTAGAGACCACATGACAAGAGAATATCCACCTCAAATGGCACTCCCCTCAGCTCCAGACACAGAGTCGTCCGCTACCCCAGGTGTTGGCGCGCCCCGTTTTTACTCCGACAGAGTTTGAGAGTGTGAGATGTTTTTGTCCGTCCACGCACCCCAGTGCACTCAAGTTTTATTACGGTACGAGTAGGTTCCTCCTCTGTTTCTTGCTGCCTCCGCGGGAAACGACAGGTACCGGAGAAGGACGGCCGAAAACGGGCCCACTTTTTGCTGCCGTCCGTACAATTGCGGTGTGGACAGACTGATAAGAAATATAGGGCGACATGAACTCCGCGAGAGGCCGTGAGAGGGTGGTGGAAAAATAGCAGCGCACATATGCCTCATCTTCTATCATTCTTAGATAAACAATTTTGACATGTGCTTGTTTGTCTCAAAAGTTATACAAATGCATTTGACTAGACATATGCACATGTAAATATTCAGTTTGCAACGCTGCATCTTTTTCTGTTACAGCGCTATGTACGATTGGGATTGTGGGAACACATGTAAACACTGCAAAAGGCATGCCTGTTGCCTTGCTTCTTATAGGCTGTATCGTCACAATTTTAAACCCTTCCACTTAAATTATAAACAAATATGCCACTTGGCTATAGATGGCCCTATTATCAACAAGCCATTGCATACATTACGTAGCTGAAAGAATAACTAGGACACTAAGAAACCTGTCCATTATTTGCTGCTTGCATTGTCATAACTACAGGGACTTTTCTGGTCTACTGAATCGCTCAAGCATCAGTTTTTCACAGTGAATGAGCACTGAACTGCAAGCGGCTGCACTTTGATCCTCTGCAAACACGTCCAAAAGTAGGATATGCCGAGCAGAGAGCACCAGAGCGAGCTAAGTCGTGTGCAGCACAACGGTCTGTTGGCATTCCTGTGCTGCTAGTCGCCCGTGTCCAGGTTTGCCGTCATAGTTAGACGCAGTCGGCTAATCGGGGAACACGCTCGGGCCGTCCGCGGCCGTTATATTTATCAGCGTCGCCCGCGCCTATGTCATGCCTCCCCGCAACTGGTCCGGATCTGTACGCCGCCACGCCGTCTCCAGGGATTTACCGATGCTATCGGTGTGCCGCCCGACCAAAACTCGACTGTCGATTTCCGCCCCGGAGGAAAACAAACCCACGATAAGGGCGCTTCATCGAAAAGGCTGCGAAACTACGTCCGATTTTTCGCAGCACTAGATGCTTAACAGGGCTGTGAAGCACGCTAGCATCGGGTTTTGCTATGGCGCCGAACACGCCCTCACCAAAAAGCCGGAGCCTGTTCAAACATGCCCTTTCCGCACAGTTCAGTCCATCACCTGGCGAAAATACCACAGTGCATGGCGCGCCTGCCGCGAGGACCCTTCCTCCGCCACCCGCCGCCGCGCCGCCCTGGGCCTCCGGGGCTTCTGCACCCGGCGGCCGACAGC